GCAGGCACTGGGCGGCGCCGGGAGAAAGAAAGAAAGGAGGGGCGCCTGGGGGAAGGAAAGGCTGAGAGCAGGGGACCTGGAGCTGGATCGGCGGGGGTGGGGGACGAAGGGGTGGGGGTTCCTGGGAAAGGGAAATGGGGGACGCCAGATAAAGCGTTAGGGTGCCGCGGGGGGCGCAAAGAGAGGTTTCAAAGAGAGCTAGGCGGGGGGATCCCAGGTGGGAGCTTGGGGTGCAAGGCTGGAGCGCAGGAGCGGGGAGGGGTGTAAAGGCTCCAAGGATGGAGCTCAGGGGTGGCTCGTGGGGGGTGCCGGGGCAGCCAGGGGGGTCCAAGGCCGGGAGGCACCGGGCAGGGAACGCGGGGCCGGGAAGAGGCTGGGAGGGTGTGCCTGGCTGGGATCCCCAGGTCTAGGGCCAGGTCCTGGGGGATGGAGGCGCCTGGGGTGGGATGGTAGGCTGGCGGGCCCGGGAGGGCCGGAACGGGGATGCTGGGAGCCCCTCACTTTCTCTCGTCGCTCGCGTTCGCCGTCCAGCTCCCGCTGCAGGCCCTGCGCGCGGTCCTCCGCCTCATCCGCCTGCTGCTGCAGGGCCTGGATCTTGCGCTTCACCGCCTCCAGCGAGTTGAGGCCGGCCATGGCGGGACACGGCGGGGCGCAGGCTGGGCTCAGCAATGCTGCAGCACCGCGGCCCGGGCCTTTGCAACACCGGCTGCCCCCGCCCCGCCCCCCCCCCAGCCCGGCCGCCGTCGGGGTGAGGTCAGCGCGGCCCGGGCGACGTCACACCGCGGGGGCGGGCCTGACGTCTGCACCGCTGGCCGCAGCTGCTGGAGAAGGCCCCGATTCGGGACATATTTGGAGAAAGCGCCAGGAAGGCTCCTCCTTTCCCTCGGGCATGTACGCCCTCCCGGCCGGACCCTGCTGACCCTGCCGCGCGCGCCTGCGCGCCCATTACCGTGCACGTACGTCAGAGGCTTTCTTCTCTGTCAGCTCCAGCTTCTCCTGAGCATCCTTCAGGTCCTCCGAGTACTTGTCCAGCTCGTCCTCTGTCCCCTTAAGCTTCTTCTGGAGATGCGTCAGCTCCTCCTCCACCTGGGGACAGATGGGGGCGCGTGTCAGCTCCGGGGCCACCTCTCTGCGGTGCAGAGGCGGCCCCGCGTTCACTGCACCTGGCCTGTAAAATAGGGGTGGCAATAGCGTGTTGTTGGTATCTGCTTCTCCAGGGCTTCCGACTCCTGGTGACCTCAAGTGTGCAGCGTAGACCTGCACTCCATAGAGCTCGCCCGGCCTTACTTCCTAGCTTCCTCTAGGTGGTTTTGAACTACCCACCTTTCATTTCATAATCAAATGCTTACCTATTGGCCCTAGGGACTGTACATAGATTGTGTTAGTGCTTGTAGTTCATCAAGCCCATCTCGGCTCCCAATGACTCTCTGACAGAATAGAACTGGTCCCTAAGGTGTTCTCGGCTGATTTTTACGGAAGCAGCTCGTGCTGTGTCTCCTCTCCCAAGGGGCCAGTGGGTGGATTCTAACTGCCAACCTTCCCCTTCGCAACCGAGCACTTAGCTGTTGAGCTACCAGGTCTCCTTATAATAACCCCACACCCAAGGCCATCATAGTCACCCTATAGGGCAGACTAGAACTGCTCCCTCAGGTTCCCAAGACCATAAATATTTACCAAAGCAGAAAACCTGGTCTTTGTTTTTCTCCAAGCTGCTGGTGAATTCTGCCTGCTGACTTTACCCGACCTTGGGGTCAGTAGTCCAAAACCCAAGGCCCTGACGTCAAATTCATTCCAGCTCAGCGACCACACTCATAGGATTCAGTTGAACGGCCCAAAAGGTTCTTAAGGCTGTAAGTCTTTAGAGAAGCAGACTGCTGCCTCTTTCTCTCTCAGAGCATCTGGTGGGTTTGAACAGCTGACCTTTGGATTAGTAGACAAGCATTTTAACCACTGTATTACCAGGGCCCACAGTAGTATGTAACCCTTGAAATTACTACCTGTTAACTTTATTTTCAAGGTCCCCAGGTAGCACAGATGGTTTGTGCCCAACTGCCAACCTTTAGCAGTTCAAACTCACCCAGCAGTACTGTGGAAGAAAGGCCTGGTACTCTGTTTCCATAAAAACTCTGGCATAAAAGTAAAAAACCAAACTCTTTCCAATAGTTCACACTCGAGTGTAACAGACATCGTCACCATGAATTGGCACTGGTTCAGCGGCAGCTAACAGCAGTAACAATGTTCGTTTAAAAGTCTCCCTCCTCCCTGCAGCTCTGGCCTGGGTAACAGCTCTTCTTCCTTCTGTGTGTCCCTCATACCCTGATGGCGTAAGGATTCCTCGTGGGCTGCTAACTGCAAGGTCAGTGGTCCAAAACCACCAGCTGCTCCGTGGGAAACATAAGGCTTTCTACTCCCATAAAGAGTTAGTCTTGGAAACTCACAGAGCCCCTTCTACCTATCCGATCAGCATCCACGTGATGGCAGTGAGTTTGGTTTTTTCATGTCCTTGTCCAATTGAGAACCGCTTTGGGGCAGCGGATAGATATTTCCACACATTTCCCAGAAAAACATGTTCACATTTCCATCCCAGTTTCAGGACTACACCCTCTTTATGATCCTGGGTTTAATGGAAAAAGGGGTCTCATTATCTGGGCCCAAACCCTCTCCCACTCCCATCCCCAGGCTCTCCCACTGTGGACCGCCTCTTCTCTACACACACACAGCCAAAGAGACGATACAACCATATCCATCGAGTTGATCCAGACTCACAGCGACCTTATATAGGGTTTCAAGGCGTTAACTCTTTACGGGAGCAGCTGGTTTACTCCGTCTCCCGAGGAACTACTAAGTGGATTCGACCCGCTAACCTTGCAGTTAGCCCAACACTTCCCAGGCTTTGGTTTTGGACGGCTCCCCATATGGAGCCCTGGTAGCAGAGTGAGCTATATGTAGGGGTGCTAACCATAAGGTCAGCAGTTCAAAAGCAATGGTTGCTCTGTGGGAGAAAGGTGAAGCTTTCTACTCCTATAAAGGTGTATAATCTCAGAAATTCACAGGAGCTGTTCTACTTTATCCTATAGGGTCACTCTGAGTCAGAATCAGCTCGATGGCAGTGAGGGTTGTTTTTTTTTTGGGGGGGGGCGGGTAATGGCGCCCCATTGCCCTCCAGCATTGATTCTCAGATTCAAAACCAAACTCACTGCCACCAAGTCGATTGTGACTGGGGGTGACCTTATAGGACAGAGTAGGACTTCCCTTGTGAACTTCTGAGTAGAAAGCTAAACTTCCTCCTTCGGCACTAATGGTGGCTTTGAACTGCTAACCTTACCCGTTAGCAACCCAACATGCTGCAACCACTATGCTGCGGCCAGGGCTCCTTAATTCTTAGATGGTCTCAGTTAAATACTCCACGGGGTATGGTGCTCAGAGCCTCAATGGAGAACTTTGGAGACCTAGCTAGAAGTGATTCCTCCCTCCCCCAAAGTCCATGTTCTTTATAGGCTCTGGTGAAATCTGTTAAAATCTTGCACATTTGCCTGTGTTTGAATAAAATATCACCTTTCTTCCCCAAATGTTTCGTCTTCTCCATGTCTCCGAGTCTGACCCACTACCCATTTCACCCTCCTTTGAGGAGAACCCCTGGTGTGGCAGGGTGGTTAGGAGTTGGGCTGCCAATGGCAAGGTCTGCAGTTCAAAACCTGTAAAGCATTCCAGCCTCTGAAACCCACGGCGGCAGTTGTACCCTGTCCTGTAGGGTCGCAGTGAGTCAGAATGGCTTGGATGACAGCGAGTTTAGAAGTTCAGCCCTGGGGGATATAGATCCCAGACCCCCGAACTCTCCATCCCTCCCAAGCCCCCACCTCACAGGTCAAGGGTCAGCTCAGGGAACGTTCCCTGCCCCTTCTGGACATACTGGTGTGTGTGTGCACATGCGCGTGGGCAGCGGTCAAGTTCAGCTCAGAGTTGGATCCTGGCTCAATCCTGCTCTAGCTGTGTCCCTGGTGGTTTGACCCCTGGTCCTCCAAGGTGGGCAGGTCCTCAGTCCCCCTTCACTCTCCTCAGATGGAGACCCAGAGAGGTGAGGCAACTTCCCCTAGGTCACGCAGCCCAGTGCTTCTGCACATCAGTGCCTGGCCCACCCCTCACCTCAGGCCTGCTTTCCTGTCCCCTTCCCTTCTCTCCTTGCTTCTTATCCTCTCCCCCCACCACCCCCCACGCCACTCCCCACTCCGTCCAAGGGCTGTGTCCTAAGGCCTGCAGCTCCTGTTGCTGTGCCAAGTTCTAGGTCTGGGTTGCATGTTCATGTGAAATATGCAGAATTGGCCAGGTGCAATGTTCCGGGTTAAGGTACCAGGGGCTGTGCAACTGTGCAAGCATCAGTACAAATTCCTAAAAATGCACCTGCCTGGGCATCTTGTCCCTGGGCCTGCCAAGTGTCCTGAGCTAGAGGAGGCGGGCAAGGGTGGCAACAAGATGGGGATGGGGATTCAACTGAAGTCATGGAGGTGTCCTATGATGGTCCCTAGCTGAGGTGCCGTGGAGAGGGAGGGAGGGCTGGCCGGTTCCAATGTCCTGAAGATCACTCATCCTCTTGTTCCAGGCTGTCCACGGTGGTCAAGGGAGGTGGCAGGGCCCAGCCCAGGGAGAGAGAGAGCCATCTCAGGCCACAATCTGAATCGACAGAGCCTGACACTGACGTCCAGGTGGGGAGACTTCGAGCCGGCCTTCCCATCCCTCAAGGACCCTGTGCGTTTCTCAGGTCTCTGTTTCCTCATCTGCAGAACACAGCCTTCTCTGAACTCTGGTCTCACCTGGGACATGAGCCAGCCTTCTTACAGATGGCCATAGACCAGCTGACGCCTCTGGGGCCAGCTGGTTTCCTTCCAGACTTGCGGGGTGTGGCAGTCACCCGGTGCTGACTGGGTACCCCGCACAGCACTCAGAACCCGGAAGAGGGAGAGCAAAATTTTCAGTGTTGGCTGGAAAGAGTTTTGTATTGGCATCTTGAAGACTTTTTCCGACCTCATTTGGATGGGGGCAGAGGGGGGAGGCTTAGATGGGGTGGGAGACGCCTGCGGAGCATTTAGAAGGTGCCCAAACTAAACTCATCGTCCTCTAGTCGATTCTAACTCCATGGCAACCCCGTGTATTCCTGGACTGGAAACCACATAAATGGATTGCCAGGCCTTTCTTCTTTGGTGCTGCCGGGGAGCTTCAAGCTACCAACATTGACAACAGGCACCGTAAAGCCCCTGTGTGATAGCAGCGTACACTGAACCCCAGAAGGAAGGGGCTTGCCCAGGGTCACAGAGATTAGGGAGCTGATCCCCAGACAGACTGACTCCAGAGCCGGGTTCATCTGAACACTACACCTGCCATGTCCACTGCTCGCCTCCTTCTGCTGAGGCGGGGGACTCCTACTCACCCTGGACACCTCAGCCCTCACACTCCCTGCCCTGCGAAGAGACCTCACTATTGTGCAGAGCTGCCCACTGCCCTCATTTTGGCTGTTGAGGCTGGGGGCATCGGCGTGTCTGTCTTCCCTAACCTGGGGACTCTTCTGAGGTCGGGCCTGGGGCTCAGGTCACTCTGAGCCCCAGTATCAGCCGGCACAGGGCCGTGTCTGTCACAGCAGGAGCCGAGGGGAAGTTTGTGGAATGAACACATGCCCCACCCCAAATCCTTG